TGCAGAACCGTTTTTTCTTGTTCAAACTTTCGGAGAGCTATTGATGATTTTGGAATCTCTTCGATCCAAGAAACGTTCTGTTTTTTCGAGATTGTCTTCCTTTTCATTCTTGAATAATATACGGCTATAATAATAATTTTCTAAAGACTTAAAATTGTACAGTTTTATTATTTCTTCAAAATAATTATTTCTTTGACATTAATTTCTTCGTTATTCAATATTGATTAAACTCAATTGTTATTTGAGAGAGTAAATATTTAGAATAAAAGAGATGGCTCTCTTTTAATTTTCAATATTTTTCTTACCTAATGATCAGATAAATAATCTTTCTTAAATAAAATTTTACCGTTTAAATATATGTGTGCGTAAATAAAAGCATTTATAAGTACTGTTACGTCAAACAAAGAGCCTTTAGTAGCTTCGATAATCTTCTGATAGTAGAAGCTTAATTTATCTTGAACGCTCAAGAAACCTCATAAACATTATCAAACATTACATCATTTATTGGCAATTTTTATATTATTGCAGTAAACAATATTTTAAGCAAATATTTTGAAGTAAAAATGAAATACTAGATGTCACATATACATGTTGATATAATGACATTTGTACTATGAATTGAGCAATTTATAATATAATTATCAATCGAATATGTTTATTCGATTAGTTACGTTCTTGCATTTTTTGTAAACAGAATAAAATAAAAGTACAATCAACCTTTAAAAAATAAATTTAAAAAATGCAAAAAAATATAATTAAAAATATAATATAATAATTTTCTAATCTAAAAATATATTTTTAGGAAAATATTATAAATAAATACGCATATAGCCCAGAGTGTGTGCAAATAAAGAAGAATAAATAGTAAATATAATATAAATGATTGACTAATTGTTATCAATCATTAATTATTACTTTTTGTCTCTTTTGATAAAAAATTTTATATATTTAATTATAATTAATAAAATTTGTTGCAACATTTCTGTAAGAAAAATAGTCTCTGAAAATGAGCTTCTAGTGGCGGGAAAGTTTGAAATAAGTGTTGGTAGACGTGGTAGCAGACATGCGCCAAAGTGTTTCAGAGCCTCTTTACAAATTGAAAATTTTAATATTTGTTTTAATGCCATTTTATTTTACAAATATAGAATTTTAAAATATCTGCGTTCTATATTTATTCCGAGATCAAAACTCATTCTATGTATATATTATTATTAATCAAATGCATGTGCAGTTTCAATTCGACTCTGCGCATCACATGATTTCCCTGGACAGTCGAAGCGTCGGGAGGGTGGAAATCGGTTACACGTGCAGCAGTGGTGGCAGTCGTTCGTCGACCGTGACGAAACGAACGTACTGTAGTTGTCTTACTAAGGCTAGCACGGTTCATGCCAGCGGTTGCTCCAGTTTACACATAGTAATCCGCGTGGTAGGGCAGAAGGAACAAGTGTCCGGAGCAATACAGGGAAAGCGAAAGATGGCGGAGACGCATCTAAACGTGCCATAATAGTGATGCAGTGTGCGCGAGTGCTCCGATCATTGTTGGCACCGGACGTGAAATTGTTCGTTAAGCGGATAACGGCCAAATGACATGGGAATTTGCAGTAGAAGACACTTTCTACTGACAATATGCAGCCTGCAACTAGTGAGTACTCAATTAATCCAGACACGTAAGCGGAAATTCGGTTCGGTTGCAACGTCTAGTTAAATTGCATATATATATATATATATATACATATAATATGAGTTTATATTCGCCGACTGAGTCACATCTTTTTTTTCTTGCAAATTTCGCGATTGTGATATGATATACAGGTTGTTAGTCACGCTATTCTATCGCGAGTAAGCACGCATCACGTAGTGTTGGACAAGGAGGAAGAATGCCGTTATTATGTTTTTTTTATCGTCACCTCGAACTCTTAGATTATCGTATTGTTTTATCGACCTGGGTCATACGGTTTATCTCTGAGGACTTCTCAAAAAGAGGGGATCATATTAATAATTGTATTACATCACTCAATGGACATCGTTTGATATCAGAGCAATTTCACTTGGATGTATTTTTATGTATTCCAGCAACGAATGACTTACTTTTTTTTATGTTAAGATAATAATAAATTAATTATCATAATAATGAGTCTTGCTCTACATTGTTGGAGTGTTAAGAATATTTACGGAATTTTTAATAATTAAATGATTAATATGTATAATGATTCTCTATATCTAGAAATTCATTATATGTAAGAAATAAATTTGTGATAATTTAACAAACAAAATTATAAAAATACAAAAATATTTGCATACATTATACAAATGTATATTTAAATTCTGCTTATCATTTTATTCTTTATTTAATGTAAATTATATAAAATTGTGTAAATATTGATAGTATACTTTATCATATTTTACGAATTTTACGAAGCTAATCTTAATTTTATCGAGTACAGTAATATTCCAGGAGAAACTTTCTCATGAAGAAATTAAGAAAGTAAGAAAGTAACCTCATGCAATTTTATATATATGGTTATAGCGCCAGCAAGTGCTATGACTCATGGCTAATTAATCGAGTATTTAGAACATAAGGCAATTGCCGCAGATTAAGAACACGCACAAAAAGGAATCAGCAGAAATTGAGATGCTTGTCACTTGATCATATTATTTTATGTTACATTCTACGTTGGACACTTGTATATGAACTTTATGGTTAATCGACCACTTTATTTTTGCTTACAGATTACTACTATAGAACGTCAAGTGTTCGACTTCCTGGGGTTTATGTGGACCCCGATACTGGTCAACTTCTTCAACATTATCTTTGTAATTTTAGGATTCTTTGGGGCCTTCCAATATAGACCTAAATATATCATTTCGGTATGTACATTGCACCATTACTTTTAGTACAAATAGTATGTTGAAAAAATATTATAAAGAAAATATGAATTGTTTCTTTAGATTATTTTCCTCTTATTTATTTATTTTTATAAAAATAAGCAAAAATATGTTTTTCCATATTTATTAATTTATTATTTTACTAAAATAATTGTAAATTTTGTTTTAGTATTGTATGTGGAATGTACTGTGGTTAGGATGGAACATATTTATAATATGCTTTTACCTCAATGTTGGGATACTGGACAAAGTGAGTAAGGAATGTGATTACATAGCATCAATACAATACCTGAGAGTGTTTGCACTTTTCGTAGACATTTACGCAATATGTGAATCATTATATAAGTATGTTGAAAATAATACTGCTATATCATCTTTCAGGATAGCGATATTCTCAATCTCGGTACTGGCAGTTTCTCATGGTGGTACGTAAATGGACCAGGTTGCAAAGCTATTTACGATGTAACAGAACCAGAGTTTTTTCGACCCGCACGTCCTACTAATGTTACGGACTGCGTGCTGGACTATGAAGTGATAGAAATTTTACACGCTGCAACGCAATGTATCTTAGGTGTAAGTAACAGTTAATTATGCAACACCATGTCATAAAGAATGCACAGATTATACTATCGTTATGCTTTTTTATTAGTTCAAAAGTTTAAGCATTTTTCGCATGTTTCAGCTCGTGGCGATTGTTGGGGGAATCTGTCTTAGTAAAGTGTTCCTTGAGGAAGATGATAGTTGTAAGTATACGCGATTTAACAATCATATTTTGAATTAATTTAATAGTTTATAGTTTCAATCCCAGATTATATCAAAATGCAATTAGGCAAATTTAAAAAAAAGTATATTAATAATTTGACGAGATTGGATGCATCTTATAGAAAAGAGAGTTGGACAGGAATTGCATCTTTCTTCTGATTCTTATAGTTGTCCAGTGTTTTCCTTTTCTCACTCGCAGCTACAAAAATCAGTCGAAAGAAGCCGAACTATACTTTAAAGCACACATAGACATAATATTTGAATTGTGTACAATGTGTGAATTGATAATTGCTGATCTTTTACACTTTATCAACTTGTGGTTTATGATAAACGAATGAGATGAGGATGCGGTTATCTGAACAGCGTAATCGGTAATAGGAAAAAATGTGTAGAGACCGAGTGTCATTCTACAAATGTTCAGGGAAATTAAAAGTGACAAGTTATAATACTGTCAGTTATCTTTTATAATTTACGTCATTAATTTCAATATTCTAACAGAAAATCATAAAGGTAAACTGAGAATCGTTTATCAAGGATATAAACGAAAATTAATTAATTATCCATCTTTGCTTTTATATGAATTGATTACGATTTTTTTTAAACAGTAAAAATTGTATTATCTTTTATATAGTTTGAGAGTGCTAGGTTTTCATTAATTTACGCGTGACATTTTGCTAGTGTATATTATATATATTCTCGAATATAGTAAATATATAAATTACACAAGTAGCATATGAAACTGTCGAGCAATTCACCTTTGCTAGTAGCAGCACATGCTTCAAATTTTAATTAAAAAATTAAACAAGTTATCTATTCACTAATTATGTATAAGCATACGCGATTATTTATTATTGCTTGAAAAGAGGGTTATCGGTTACAGTTGATTTCATTGGTGGATTTGATCCTCCATTTTGGTAAGTCCGCTTAATCATGTTCAATTGCACGCCATAAATATTTGTCTATTTTTTTTTGGCACGAATAAATAATGTTTTATAATACGATGATAAAGCTGTAGAATGTACTATTATGTTTTATTACGCAGCGTTATAAAATTTTTTGCATCTTGAAGTTTGTGATTCATATCTATTATTATTATCGTTATTATTGATACCTTGTTGAAGTAGCGTTTTTTTTATCTTTGCATGAACGGAATGGTATTGCGTCTTAATGTAGTACGATCTTTACCTCCTGTGCATAGAGACATTTCATAGGTAAATACGACCGTAAAGACAAAATATTAAGCAGACTATGCCACGTAATAGGACGAAATATTTCGAAATAATTTCTTCTTTGTAAAACATCGAGGAGAAAGATTGAAAACATAGGTAATAATACATTCGAGATTATTTGTCGCGCTTCTTCCATCGTTCATTATTTGCCTCTCGTCCCTCATCAGCGGACCTCATCTAATGTGATGGATTCTTGAATGATATTTCAGTTGACTTTGTTGGAGGTGATGACTTTGGGTTGGCTGGCCACACGCCGTTGCATCCTATGTACGTTAGCTACTCGGCTCTTCCACCACCCGCCTACTCCCATAAAAATTCCGCTCAGAGTAATTATCCGACCGATACAGCTAGCTCTCATCAATCTGCCTATCGCGATTCGAGCTTTCCGAAACGTAGCGGCGAGAGGCTTTTGAGCGGCAATCCCGCGCGCGGCAAGAGCAACGTCGTCGTCGGTTTCAGGAACGACACGGTTCACAGTACCAATAGCCGCGCGTCTAGTCGCGATTTTCAGAATGTGGACTACGCGGCCGACTATACGAATCCGGTGGACCACTTGCAGCGGCCCGTGTCGCCCGTTTACGACGAGTACGACTCGTTAGACAGCGCGGCTAAGCTGAGGTATCAGAAAAACAAGCTGTACTATCCGCACTCGACCAAGTACAGCCCGGTCGCGCGCATCAAGTCTCGTTCAATCGCGGCGAAGCAAGCCAGACACCCCGCTAAACCTCGAGTCTTCACCGATCATGTGCGCGATCCACCTCTGAGATCGTTTTATTCCGATCCGAGATTGGCTATCGATCAGACGCTCAGCGAGCATGACATGTCGTCGTCTCAGTCGAAACGAGATAGCCGACCGTTGTCCTTGTACGCGAGTAACTATTGACACAAGACTCTCCGTTTTTATATGCACACGACTGCTTGTTCCTAATTATATTAAAATTGATGACACTTCTGTCGTAATTGATAGATAAAATTGCTCGCGAAAATCCTTGTACGGGCTTCTATTATCTTTTAGCGAAAAGAAAATAACAATTTTCTCATGCAAATTTCTATATTGTCGCGTATGGCGTCTGCGTGCGATACGTGTAACATTATAATTCCTATACTTGCCAAACTGAAACAATTAGTATAGCTAGCTCCTAGGTGCCCTTCTTTCCCCCCCCCCCTTCCTTTCAACAATCATTGGACTAGAAATTATGAGTTATTTTTACATAACATTACGTAACTTATTAATATTCTTCGTATTTTGCATAAAAACCAACGACTGATGTCGAACTATGTGTGTTCAGTAGTATTTGCTTGCCTATACGAACAATCAGTGTAGAGTGTGATTTATCTACTAATTCATAAATGTTGCATATTTATAAAAGGACGATCCAAAATTAATGTCCACTCTTTTCACTTTTCAATTCGTACAAATAAATGGTTAAGATATGTATGAATATTGTAATAGCACAAAATCGAATTAATATTTTAATTTTAATCATTCATCCCAGCCACGTAAAATCAATGATATATGAAAGGCTATAAAAAATCATTTACTTGCACACATCTATATTGATATTAAGAAAAATTAAAATGAAGAAGAGTGAATAATAATTGTGAATCGTCTTGCACACGGTTGAGGTACACATCTTGCTCATCTTCTATACACAGATAATTGAATACACCTTACATGTGCTGTGATATGTATAGAAGCTGTTTAAGATCACGCGGAATATTTATCGCTCTATTATGTACTAAAGTTGTACATGTTAAAAATTGTATGCATTGGGAGACTTTACTGCACGCTACGTAGAGGAAAGTGTTGGTGGTGAAGTATAGCATGACTGAAACATCCTACTTGAGCGTGAAGTTTTATCTGTAGCTTTGTTTGACACCAATTTTTTTTTTTTTTTATTTACACGATAAATTTTGAAACTTATTGTTACGGATTAATTAAAATTTGTCCCGGTGCTACGATATTTTTTTATAGAATTACTTTATATTTTAAAGACTTAAAAGAGAGCTTGTGACTTGCCGATTCTTTTCTCTTGTTAGTAGTGCATGGTAGTTGTGATTTTCTCTTATTTGTATTTTCAATTTAACAGTGTTAAGTATTTTTGATTTCTTCGTAAAAAAAAAAAGCTTTCGTAGTTGTATTTGTAGAATAAATCGTAGTATTTAAATATGTGTAGATTAAATTTCATATAAGTAAATTATTTATTATAAATTGAAATATTAAAATTTCATTTTGCATATAATTTTGAACATTTCTTGACGAACGTATTTATAATTTCTACTCGCTTTGACGTTCTTCACACAAAGGACTGATTTTTGCGTTATATAATTTAATACAAAATTTGAAACAACATCACAAGAAACAGATATTCAATAGATTATATCAATTTTTTATGTAACGTAGAAAGTTAGTGCATAGTAAAAGGCCGATTATATAAAAAGAAGACTGTTGAGAGAAAGAGAGAGAGAGAGAGAGAGAGAAGGGAGGAGAGAGAGAGAGAGAGAAGAAGTAGAGAGAGAATAATATA